CCCAATCCGGTAAAATAAGCATTGCCTCGATAATATATATCTGTCTATTGTACATTTGTGGCCCACGTTTAATTAAGTGCAATTATGTTTCCCAAATCTGTCATGCAATAGGTACGCATGTAGACTATGCTTGTACGTTGCATGATTAAACAACAACAGCAACAACAACAACAACAACAACAAACCTTTAAAAAAAGAAACTGATCTAAGTGCTCACGTTGAGCTCAACGCTTCACACTCTGTGAAGACCCATTATAGATGTTGCAAGGGTTGCGCAGAGTGAAGAGACTGGTTCTTTGCCTCACCCCTTGGCGTGCATTAAGAAAACTCTCTTTAAGCCTATATGGCCGCTAAGCGTCCCGGAGTGAGCACACGGCAGCCCCTGTTCGTTTGTGTGGGTATACCACGAGCTCAAGTAGATCTACTATCAGTACTAGATCTCTGGATCTAGGTACAGTGGCGTCCAAAAGAAAATTGAAATTTTAATCTCCCAGTCACCGTGTAATGCCCACTCATGCAGCATACCAATTTTAAGTTAAATAAATTCTGCACCATCCGACACACTAATATTTCATCTATGTTAAGAGAGGCCCAAGATATGGTCACTCAAAACGGACCTTTAAAAAATCAGGCTTGGTAAAATTATGCATAAGAAACGCGCGTGTTTTGAGGTACATCTACATTGGTGGAATGGACATTTATTATTGAATATCAAACGATTTATAAGAGAATATTAATGTCTCGGCAATGAACCGCATCTTCTGGTGATATATTCAAATAGACTGTAAAACAGAGTAGTCACAAATACCAGGCACAAGCTGGACTTCACATTACAAGTGCCCTTTAGTATGATTTTATTTTAGTGTTAGGAGCTATTGGTTTCGTATTTAGCACGAAACTTTTTTTTAAAAGCATGGACTGTGTTAGTTAGATTTTGGACTAATCATCTGTCAGTGTGGAGCAGAGGCCACGAAACTGCCATGGTTTTGGTTGGTCTTGGGTGGAATAAACAAAACGGCTCTCGTATGAATCACCGGATGGCTTGGTTTGGTAGACATCGCACAAGTGCTGGAACCTTAAATTATTTGGTGTATCAATCTTGGAGTGGAAACCAATAAATAGCCCCGATATGAATCCTGCTACAGGTAGACGCTATATGTGAAATCCAGTGAAACAGTAGCTGAAGAAAATCGACTTTGCTCCCAATTCAGACCCTTTGTTTGAAACTGTCTGTGGTATATGGGATGAAATGATAGATAATTATTATGTCCAAAATTTAATAGAACTGATGCCAAAAGGGTTCGTACCCTACGAAAAGCTAATGCAAGACTCCTAAGCAAAATAACAATGAACAACCTTAATGTTTAGTCCAAGTTTTCCTGTTTTGTTATGTTTTTTGGGGGCCTGGTATTTAATGAGATTGCTCTGTTTTATGTTTTGTTTGGAACTAATGAACTAAAATATTGTTAATCGCAATAACAAAATTCTCCATTCAGTGGACTTGCAATGCATGTCCATTTTATCAATATTGATACCGGTACTCATCAATACACCCACGAAGGCAACCTTAGTGTTCTTTGATTTTGCACAATTTTGCCAAGCCGAATTTTTGAAGGTTAGTTTTGAGAGACCACATCTCGGGCATCTCTTAACATAGGTGAAATATTAATGTGTCAGGTGATACAGCAGCATTAATTTAGCTTTAAATTGGCATGCTGAATGACTGGAGTGCAAGGCTTTGGCACGAACGGTACCGTGATTACATTTTCAAGTTTCTTTAGCGCGATTTCATAACCTTTGATGTGCCCTGACAAATGGGCGAGGCAGTTTACCGGCGAAATTAGCATGTCGTGTGTCGAATTCTTTCATCATAGTCGTATGTTTCCCCCCTTTAATTTCTCATTCATTTTTTTCTTAATTTTACTCGCCCATGATGGTCTCACACTGTAAAAGGCCCTATTTGTATTATTTGGAGATTATATATATACATGTATTCTGGCTCATTTAAAAGTAAACAATCACAAAAATCCCAGTGAGTACATTTAGCGATAAGCAACTCATACCGGTATGAAAAAGAAAACAACATCAAAAGACTTCTCAGAGTACATATGTATCATTAACCCATGATTGAAAAGTGTTGCTGTGCACCGGCTGGCGTTTTATTCCTCTCCTGAATGGCGGCGCACGTCCTTCAAGTTTGACACCCGTGACGTCACAGCTAGGACCTCTAGTTCTATATATTATGATCTCTTTGGAATAGCCCAAGGAAGTGTCTTAGAGAACGTTTAATTAAGCTGTCTACGTTCTCTAACTTTCAGTGCTTCCAATTTTCCGCCATTTTAAAAAGTTTCCTCCAGACCTCATCTGTCGATCCGATCGATGTCCGCCGCCTCATTGATATCCCGCCTCCTGCCAATTATTATTCGTCCTGGTTGGGGGTCCGGGGGCAAATTGGTGGTCAGTAAGGAGAATTTTAAGGAGAGGGGAAAAAATCCAACAAAAAAAACCCAAACTTTCCGGGACCGGTATTCGATGCCACGCTTGGAAGCACTGAGCATTAGAGAACGTAGACTGTTTGTATACGTCCTCTAACGTTAGAGAACGTAGACACTACCATAGCTCAAGGAGGTTATATATTATATTATATATAGAATTGCTTGAGAATAAATGTTTAAAAAAATTAGCCTAATTCTTCTAAATTTTTATTCTTCCTTTGACTTCGACATTATTTCGTCTTTCTTTCTTTGTGTCTCTCTATGTGTATGTGTGTGTGTGTGTGTGTGTGTGTGTGTGTGTGTGTGTGTGTGTGTGTATGTGTGTGTATGTGTGTGTGTGTGTTTGTGTGTGCGTGTGTGTGTTCGTGTGTGTGCGTGCACGCGCGCGCGCATTCGTGTTTTTGTCTTTGGCCTAACCTGCGCCACATCTCTGGCAAATGTAACTCTTTTTTCAACTAGCAATCGACTTCCGGTCATCCGCGTCACAGCACAGTACAGCGGTAATTTTGAAGAAGTGAAAACAACACAGGGAAAACTGTACCGTTGTAATCTTCGATAACTTATTCATATAAGACGCGATTTCATTCTAAGACATGCTGTCGTGAAATTTGGATGTTTGAAATATTTTTTGAACTATGGTTGTTCAAAATACTGATCCGAATATCCAGGAATTCCTTGATTCTGCCTCGGTAAGTCTTGGTCTCCCCTGAGCCTCCGAGGACGAGTATGTCCATCTAGGCCATGCCAAACAGAGTGTAGAGTGATCACAACATAAAGAGAACGAAGGAACCACGCTGCGTGTAGCTGACTGACCTGATGATAATAATAATAATAAATTGCATTTATATAGCCCATTTCCACAAAGAAGTGCTCAATGTTCAGTTCAATAATACGGGAGCGACCACTCTATGAGACAGAGCAGGGTAGGGGTAGAGATCTAGATTTCTAGAAATCTAGATCTAGATCTAGGGTTTGAGTTAGGGTTAGAAGGCCCCTATTATTGTGTTTGATGGGGTGGTCGCTCGTTACAGAAGTCCTTCCAATAATACACAAAGAACATAGAATCTAGATCAATGCAGCACACAGCTCCCTTTGGCTTTGCTGCAACCCCCTCTCTCTCTCTCTGTGTCTACTCTCTGTCTCTGCCTCCCCCCCCCCCCCCCATCTCTCTCTCTCTAATAATATAATCTCTCCAGTACATCCTTGAGCAAAGGCAGTCCCACAAAACCCTCCCAGACACCCTCGTGCACATTATGATGACATCTCACTACACAGCCATGAAAATTGCCACAGAACAGAACAGCATGGGCATGAAACAAACGGCACAACAGAGAGAACACTAAAGAGACACTGACTGACAGAACACTATATCTGCCTATGAATTCCTCGTCTTTAATTTAAACACATACATGAAGCTACAGCGAGCACCTAGCACACCTTTGTGATTGTCCCAAATATAGATGACGCATTTCCACCATATATTTTCGAAGTGTATACAGACCCGGTAACCGGGAACAAAGTCACGAAGTATACAGACCCGGTAGGGGAACTCTTTTGTGATTTCGGGAAGTTTCAGCGCTCAGACCCGGTAGAAATCTAGTGTGTGTGTGTGTGAGAGAGAGAGAGGTGCTAGCAAAATGTAATGACATGCCCCAGTTGGCAGGAGGGAACGAGAGAAAGATAGTGTGAAATAGGTGGGGACAAAGGAAGACAGAGACAAACAAAGAAAAAGAGAAGGCGATCGATAGACAGAGAGAGAGAAATAGAGAGGGTGACTGCTCGATTGAAATTATGACATTGTTCTTTTCTTCAAATTGCGACTTGCGATTCCTCCAACTCCAAAACGGAGGAAAAACGATCGTTCATCGAAAAGACATCCGCAATCTTCATCTAGATCTAGGCTAGCCGCAAAATTAGATTAAAGATTTATGTCTGTCTGCCTAGATCTAGGTCTAGACCTAGGCCACAGATCTAGAAGAACCTAGGTCTACCCTGAGCCAAGAGGGCGCAGAAACTCCGAAATCACAAAAGACAAAAGAGTTCCCCTACCGGGTCTGTATACTTTGTGAAGTTGTAATGGAACGTTTGTTCACGGCACAGAATTCTACAATTTTTCTGTTATCACAGTGTAGAATTCTGTGGTTTAGGGTGAACGCAAAATTTGGTGAACGCGCACCGGGTGAGAATTGAATAGCCACAAGACTCGCCTGCACTATTCTCACTCCGGGTGAGAATAGAGGTGGCCATACTTTGTGACTTTGTTCCCGGTTACCGGGTCTGTATACACTCCATATATTTGGCCGGCACTATTTCTCCGAACGTTCGGGAAAATAAAGCTGGGCACTATTTCTCCGAACACGCTGAAATCACATCCTTTCCCGCAAATTTCGGATATTATATAGAGTATAGGCCTACCAAAGTTTGTTTGTATACAATATGGTTCAATCGGTCCCAAAAAAAATATCCTCAGTAAATATTTATATATAAAGAAATGCTACAGTTCCAAACAGTTTTTTGCTACAGGACGTGTTGCCTATGAAGGGTGCTGCTCCTAAACTTAATGTGTTGTGTTCACTCGTGTGCTGTCTAGATCTAGATCTACGGAGGGTTATTGATAACGACACATAAATCTAGCTTCTGCGTTTGTCGCGGCCGCGACCAATCAATCATGGCTCGATTTTTTGGCCTTTTTTGGTCGCGGAATAAAAGTCAAATGTAAAAAAAAAAAAGAAAAAAAAAGAAAGAAACCGTACCTCTTTACTTTTGAAAGAAAGTTCACTTAGTTTCACTTCGTCTCTTTCTCACTTGTCACCACGTTGATTTATTGAATACGTTACAGTTACTTTTATTTTTCCCTCTTTGACTCTTTGTGGTGTTTTATTTTGTTAGTGTGTAATTTTTTTTCTTGTTATTGTTCTGATGTGTTGGTTTTCTATCAATTTTTTGTTGTTGGGGAAAGTGGGGGGGGGGGGGATGTTGCATAGTGTAACGTCATTTAATTTGATGTTCCTACCTTCATTAGATTCTAAATATATATACATGTATATATATAGATTTAAATGTTTTATGTTAGAGCGTACGTTCCACTAAAACCGTTACATGTACTGACACTGGCAGGCCCCTTAATGTGTGTGATTCGATAATTTACATGTAATAATATCCTGTACTTTAAAAAAAATTTACGCACATTTATGGTTAAAACAGCCAATCTTCTTCGGACAGGTGGACACACGCCCTTATTTGTTAATTTTTGTGGTTGTTTATGGGCTGTTCTAATTTTGATTTCATTCTGTTGTGAAACCTTTCTTTTTCACGTTTTTACACTCATCTAAAAATCTCTAGACTGGCTCTTGAAAATTGAAATAGATATAGACCCAAAAATTTGATCGTGTGTGTGTGTGTATGCATGTGCATGTGTGAGTGTGTCTGTGTATGGTAGTAAGTGTGTAAGTGGAGAGTGAGGAGTGTGTGTGTGTGTGTTGTTGTTTTTTTCGGGCTTTATTTCAGCCTTTATTCAGTAACATAATGACAGTTCAAAGTATACAAAAATAGAAACACAGTTTCCATTCACTCCAGGGCTCATGAGTCGTTCCTCTCTTTCAGTTTCACTCATCCACTCATCCATTCAATTCCCGTGTTCTCTCCCGCGGCTCATCCCCGTCCGCATGACTTTCACACCCCACCCCCTCCCTCCAAGCACACACAAAGAAAATCTCACTCATTCCCTTGCACCCTGCGAACCATGGACAATAATATAGGCACTGCCTTAGCCACATTCCTTTCGTTCGTGAGCTGTGGACCAGGCCGGGGGGGGGGGGGGTCGGTGTCGTCGTCTTGTAGTTGCTGTCGCCTGTGGATACACTCGTACATTCTTCCTTTCACCCGCTCTTTCACTCACACTGTCTCTCCATCCACAGCTCAGCTCGTCATGCGTTCAAAAGTTGCCCACTGATCATGTTTAGTTAGTGTGTGTATAAGTTTGTGCGTGTACATGTGCATGATGATGGTGGGTGTGCGGTGGGTGTTACTGAAGGGTGTTTATAGGCGGGCTTGCCATGCGGTGTTCCTTCCCAGACCAGAGGGGATGAATGATTGAATGAATGAAAGTTGGCGCAGAACTCTCGCAATAAATAGGCAAAAAATCACGAGACCGGAAGCCGGAAACCGTTCGGAGAAATAAAGATCGGCACTATTTCTCCGAACGTTCGGAGAAATAGTCACTTCGTATATATTTTTGTCGTCTTCCGGAGTTTCCCCCAAGACTCTTGGCTTTGGTTTTCCCTTGGCAGTTGACTACATCTCGCTGTGTTTGTTTTTTTGGAATCACACACAGGGGGCCTGCCAGTGTCAGTACATGTAATCGGTTTTGGCGGAACGCTCTAACATAACAGAGAACACATTTAAATCTATCATGTATATATATTTAGAATCTAATGAAGGTAGGAACATCAAACTACATGACGTTACACTATACAACACTACAACAACCCCCCCCCTTTCCCCAACAAAAAAAATTAATAGAAAAACAACACATCAGAACAATAACAAGAAAAAAAATTACACGCCCACAAAATTAAACACCACAAACAGTGAAAAATAAAAGAGGAACAGCAATACGAATCATATATTGTAATGTATTCGACAAGAAATCAACGTGGTGACAACAAGTGAGAAAGAGACGAAGTGAAGCTAAGTGAACTTTCTTTCAAAAGTAAAGAGGTTCGGTTTCTTTTATTTATTTATTTTTATTTGACTTTTATTCCCCTCGGGGGACATAAAGATCGGGCCACGATTGATTGGTCGCGGCCGTGACAAACGCAGATGCTAGTTCTATGTGTCGTTATCAATAACCCTCAATAGATCTAGATCTAAACAGCACACGAGTGAACACAACACTTTAAGTTTAAGAGCGGCACCCTTCATAGGCAACACGTCATATCTGTAGCGAAAAACTGTTTTGGAACTGTAGCATTTCTTTTTTTATATGAATATTTACTGCAGATATTTTTGGGACTGATTGAACCATATTGTATACGAACAATCTTTGGTAGGCCTATGATTTAATTATAGATCTTTTTATATAATATTATACATCCGAAATTTGCGGGAAAGGATGTGATTTCAGAGTGTTCGGAGAAATAGTGCTCAGCTTTATTTTCCCGAAAGTTCAGAGAAATAGTGCCGGCCTATAATTTTTGCTGTAGAACACACATGGCCGATAAAACCCTTGCAAATCAAGTGTTTTCAAGTACACTTAAATATCAGTCCTAATTGCCGAAACATCAAATCATTGTGAAATGAAGGGGGGGGGGGGGATGTCATGCCCCCCCTGAAACCCCCAAGATTCCTAAAAGGCCCCCCATATTGTTAAAATCAAGTCAAACATATTTTCAAACATCAATTACTCACTAACTATTGATTTGCGGCAAAAATGAAGGCCATATTCGTGTTCCGAAGTGGCTAGCCGTACTTAAATGCAATAACCACTTGACCATATTATTATATATAACATTAAAAGAAATAATTTTTTCAATACATTTTTGCGCCTCTTTGTTTTATGGGAAAAGAAAATACATTTATTTTGAAAATACATACGAATTATGAGTTGGATGTGACTTACTTTCATTCAACATTCATGATCCTGAATATTTTGTTTTCTCAGGCTGTACAGAAAGAATTGGAGACAGCTTGTAAAGTCCCAGGGTCTTCTGTGAACTTTGAAGTCTTTCAAAAGCTTCTGTTACGAAGTGGCAACTTTTTAAGCCACTTCAAAGGTAAATGCTTGTTTTACCCAACATATAAAATGCTCCCCAATATTAACTTTGTAAGAAACAAAAACAGTAATTACAGGAATATTTTTTTACTTTTCTCAAATTAAGGTTCTTTGTTGAAATGTTACTTTACTTGTAGTCGCATGCTGGTTGCCCCCCCCCCCCCCCCCCCCCCTCTGATTTGGTCTATTTTATTTTGTAGTTCAACCATAGTTACTTTTAAGTTAAAGAAACTAGGTTGTGACCCCCACAACCATGACAATCAGTTTATTCTTAATTTACGCTGAAAACATGATTGACTTACTCTTAATTTGCGCTGAGAATAATCACGTGATTTTCAACATTTTTATGATTCAGTTTTATTTTTATTTTTGTAAAGCTTTTTGTTGTACATGTAAGATTATAGTTTTGTGTCCGGCTCTGGAAGTATCAAATTCAATTTTTAAAGAAGTAGATCTATATTAATTTGATATGGTTTGAATTTTCTTCTATTGCATTTTCTTTTTCTGGATTATAGGATCACTGACACTGGCTTAAATTTTTTCAATTATTTTGACTCAACGGGAAAAGCTTCAATACATTATACACAAGGTTTCAGACGAGTCTCAGAATAGTCTCTTCTAAGAAAACACTTTTGTGTATTTCACCGTAATTGATTAGCTGTGCAGTGAATGGATGGGGTTAAAAATCAAACCATTCTATCGTAGAATATTATTCCATGGTGTTTTTCAATGTTTTTAATGTTTATATTTTTGCTCATCAGATGACAAGGGAGAGGATATCGGCTTTACGCTGTCCGCCTGGTATGACTTGGCTACTAAGGCGCTGCTCACTCTGTTCCAATGCCGTGCAGACTTGGACTCAGGCCCTCTGAAGATGCGCCTGTTGCTTTCTTATCTCAATCATATCAGCTACCATCTGATTAATATCAAAGATGTGAGTGATTCTCCCTTCTAGAAAGCTGACATCCTTTCTTTCTTTTTTTTTCTTTCTTGTTGTATCATCTTTTCAAATGCTGAGAATTACTTGCATGCCTTCAGTTTCCATGATACTTGTATACTTTTGACTGTTTGTGTTGCTTTTTTGTGTGCAAAGTTGCAGACATGTAAATTATAATAAAAATTAAATGTCCATCAGAATTATCGCTTACTTCAACCTGGTATCTGCTCTATAACTTCATCAATCGTCCACAGGTCCCACTTGAGTGGCACAGATACTTTGGCATGGTTGCTCTTGAGTTCCTGTCCGAGTATTCTATGGACCCAACCTACAGCGCAGATTTCCTGACCAGTTTGGCTGAAAAGTTTAACGCCTTCCTCTGCACCGTAGGCAAAAGAGTCCAGACAGCCCCGCCTTCAGGAAAGACTGGAGAACGTCTTGGCCAGTACTATCAGTTGTACCTTCTGGGGGCAGCCTTTCAGAGCCTGATTCCGGGAACTAATGATCCAAATCAAAATGGCAAGCCCGACTCTTTTTACTTCCTGAGAAATTATCTCCAGGCTCTGGATGCGGTCTCTAACAGAAAAAACAGCCCTGGGGGCGGCCCCTCCACCGCCAAGACCTCCTGTTCTGTGTGGGAGTCGGAGAAGGAGTTTGCACCTTGGCTGTTGCGGTTTGCGGTGTCTGGCGTCACTCTCAGTACACCACAGGCATCGGAGGATGATTATCTACTTTTCTGTGTTTATCTGTTTCAGTAAGGAATCTGACTGCTTTTGAGAAAAATATATTGTAAAATATGTTGGGTTATCTTATACTCACGGGTTGATCATGACTTTCTTTTTTAGGTACCTTAAAAATCTCAATGTTCCTTCTCTTCCCAACACTCTAGGCAACATGGGGGCAAAAGTCAATGGCAAGCATGATTGACACTAGTGCGTGTTTTGATTTTGTGTTGGTCTGTGGCTGTTGAGTCCAGTGTAAGCTTTTGGTCTTATGAATTGTTCTAACTTATGACTCAATTTTTGCCTGTGGACTCCTAGCTTTGGATTTAGCTTGTTGCTTTTACTTTATTAATATGACATGACATGCTTTTAAGTCTTTCACTACCACGAGCCGTCATGTGTTACCCCAACGCTGGACCATGAGCCATGTTTCACGGCTCGCCACTTCCTACTTCAAAACCAGTTCTACTTTTGTGATAATCAAATCTGAAATCTCAGGCTGAAGAATTATAGTTTTTAGCAATATGTTGAGATAGATCTTTATTTCCATATATAATACATGTGGGTAATAGTGAAAATTGAACTTAAAAATCTTTAATTTGTCCGACGGTAGACCGAATCTGAAAGTAGGTCACAGATAGGGCCCAGTCCAGGTGAGGAAAACCCTCCTGGTAGTGAAAAAGTTAAAAAAGCTTGGGTGGTTGGTGAATGGTGGGTGCTCTAGCGCTAGTGTCGTCTGCTCCTTTCCTGTCAATCATCTATCGTTTTGATCTCTCCTCTTTTTTTTGCCTTAAAACTCTTACTAAAACAAAAAGCATAAGCTTTGAAAATGTCTGCCTTACATCAAATATTTGTCGTCTGTGTTCCCAGGCTCCCATCAAAATGAAAAGAAATATTGGGTGCAAATTAAAAATTCTTTTTACCATTTCTGTCTTTCTTCCAGGTTGTGTTACCGTACTTCTCCGAAACAGTTTGAAGAGCTTCTACAATCCGAATGTAACCTTTTCATCTTTGATGTTGCTTCGGAATCATTTGGTTTTCCTGACGATGGTACGAGAAGACGAAGGAAATCCAATCTGAACAGGCAGTTTTGCAAACTGAAAGAATTCAGCGGTAGGATATTGTCTCCGTGTTGTGATTTTACACCTTGACTGTTGCCCGAATTTTGTCAGGCTCCTTCAGGTCTGGATTTAAATGTGTCAGTCAAAGGGTGGTTATTATCAGAGCTGTTAAAGTACTTTTAAAAAGGTACTTAAGTACAAATTTAAGTACAATCTAAAATATATACTTAAGTACAGTAAAAGTACTTTCCTGTAAAATGTACTTGAGTACAAGTACTTTTTACAGGGTCCCCACCTGGTCGGGAAATCGGGAAAAAGTCGGGAATTTTGAGATAGGTCGGGAAAAAGTCGGGAATTTTGTGATGGGTCGGTAAGTGGGGAAAGGATAGGGCCTGTGTAATGTGTAGCTATCTAGACTGTATGGTTGATGAATCCTGAAGAGGAAACGTAATTGAACCGCTGTGGCGGAAGTGTATGTGTGACACCGAGGCTCGATCGGGAAGAATCAAGATCTACTTTCGCTTTCGTTACCGCCCAGAAATTTTCCGGTAATAGTCTGATAGATAACGCAACATTTGTAACGTGCATGTTATGCATTATGAACGCTGTGTCGCCTTGAAAATAAATCAATATTAAAAATTGCCCTCTGCTGTCGCTTGTGGGGAAAAAAAGAAAAGAAAAAGAACTTATACAAGCGTCTTGACAGGTTCGCCCTCGTGACCGGTCAATGAACCTGTGAGTACCGGCGGTCTGAGCGCTGTGAAGCATAGGACTCCTTTATAAGATACACCCATGGAAGGGGATGTGGGGGGGGGGGGAGCTGAAGGCAACGCTAGAGGACAAAAACTGAACTTGGAAGCAAATTTTTAGCATTTTGGAAGCAAATTTTTTGCATTTTGGAAGCAAATTTTTTGCATTTTGATAACTACTTTAGAGCTCTCTGCAAAGCACGCGTTGGTGCAGGACTTGTGTGGCATTGGATGGGGTGATTGTGATTTATATCTATATTTTAGCTTTCTATTCAAGATTGGCAGATTTTCAGTGTCACTGCATCTTGCCCTCCCTCAGTTCTTACACCTCTCACACTGAATAAGTGTACTTGAGCCATTCTAGTTATTACTAATATTACTCTACTTTGAGTTTGAGCAATAGTTTTCGTCTTCACGTTTATTATATGAATCATGACACCCAGACTGGTTATTGACAGTCGATATTCTAGTTCTAGGTCTTTTGTCAGGCTCAAAACAGGATTCATTTTTTATATAGGGCCTATAGTTTGTTATGTTGGCTAATATGATGAGGGGAAAATATAAATAAGTAAGAACAGACTGAAATACCAAAGTCTCTCAAGATCCCAGTGCCACACTAACATGTTGTTGACTGGATATAATGTACCTACGTGTGTGTGTGTATTCACAAACATATACATGTATTATATTAGATATAAATGGAGCACACGCTTTCATTGTTATGTAACATGTTCCTGGAAAATGGATGAGGCCCCTCCCTTGGAAAATTGAGAAGCTGGGTTGGCAGTCACCCAGTATTATAGTCATCTATTGTTTGAAGACTATACTACAAAATGTACATTTGCATTCATTTATAGACATTTTAACTTTTTATCATTGATAGATTGGCTTTTTTGGGATCATTCTTGACGCGCAGCGGCCTGATTTTTCCCTCTAATTGCGGTCTTGAAAAAATTTTTCAAGGATTTGGTGGGGACCCTGTAACCGAAAATGGTCAAAATCCGACTTTTGGTACCTTTCTTTAGGCACACACTCAAACATTGCATTGTTCGCAGGCTTTGGCACAGTTATGCAGGCTGTGAAGATCTGGAGGAAAGTTTCAACCTACGGTCCTTTTCCACTTCCTCCTGGAGTGAAGACAGACAAAGCATCTGGCTTCTGGGCCACAAGTGCAGAGGTAGGTGTGTGTGTGTGTGGGTGCATAATTGCAGCTTCAGTACATGTTGGCTCCCATTTGTCCCTGGCTCCTTTTTTTTTCTGAATTTTGATTTTAAGTTTCATTCTATTTTTTTATCCTTTGGCTCTCATTTTTTCCAACATTTGGGCCAAGTATAGTCTCAATAAATAGTTGCCATGCAGAAAAAAAACTATTCTTGGGGTCAGTAAGGACTCCTATGCATTCTTGCGTTGTCCTTTTACTTTCTAAAAAGATACGTTGGAAGGTTGTTTTTTTTCTGTCCCATATGGTGCCTTTGTTTTTTTTTTTTTGGTTTTTTATTTAGGGGGGAAAAAGGTCCTTTTCTCTTTGCTAGTGTTGCGTGGATCATACGAGTAGATGTGTCATTGAGTTTAGTAGGTCCGATGTTCTAAAAAGATTAATTTTCTTATGTGGATTTTTTTTTTTTTACAACTTTGTTGTTAATTGAATCAAGGTGAACGATGTGACTTTGATGTTTAATAACTAGTAATTGTCTTACTTGACCTACTATTTAACTTGACAGACTGATGCACATATATCTTGAAAGGCCAAGTTCTGAGTATTTACAGAGTTGAGGTTTCTTCTTCACCTTATGGTTATCTCGTTTGTTTTGTTTTTATCATGCACAATTGTTACCCCGTCTTGTGATACAATGATAATTTTTTCATGAACTCATTTCACTCTGTAAACTGAATCATTTCACTTTGCAAACTGTTTACTTGTCTTTATTAAGGGAGCACTCCCACGTATACACCCCTCCAAATACTTAGGTCTGTTGCATCAGACTTTAAGGAATAGCAAATTATACCCTGATTGGGTAGAAAAATTAATAGTTGTGTTGCTTTAGAGTCCCATTTTGTTTTCCCCTACCCATACCACTTGTTGTGGTGTGTCTCCTGCCCTCTCCTGCTTTTGAGTGTATGTTGGTGACCTTGTAGATCGAGATGCGTCTCTCTTCCAACCCAGCAGCTTGTGATCTCTGCTCATTTGAATTGAAATTTGATTCATGTTGGGTCAAGTGGGGTTTTGAACCATTACAAAACAATACAGTCGAACTTGCTCCTATGACCATTTGTGCTAACAGCCACTACATATCCCCGGTTGCATTTTTTCTACTTTAAAATTGTGGATTGTTGGCGGGTGCTCTAGTGCGGTTTGCTCCTTCTTTCCTATCAAACATCTATCTTCTTTATCTCCCCTCCTTCTTTTTTTGTGTTTGTTACTCCCTTGTAACACCTCTAATCTTTGGCACTTTTATATGTCCTTATTATGTTGCAAGTGACGTAAAACTCTTATGGAA